GTTTGGCAACCTTCAAGTCGGACTTGAAAGATGAACAGAGCCAGGCTCTGTGACTGGCATAGAAAGTATTTCAACATGTTATTATTTTTCGTCAGGTGCACGAGGGCATTGTGTCGGTGTCGGACTGGTACACCATCTTCTCCGAGCTGGCCGGGGTGGACCCCACGGACACCCAGGCGGAGAAGGCCAATGTGTGGCTCAAGGAGGGAGGGTTTAACCAAATGTCCGGGTTGGATCAGTTGTTCTTGTGGGCCAGGTGTCATGTCAATGGAGAGTTGAAACATCACCATGTTGCCAGTTGAAGAGGGCTCCGCTCTCTTTTCATAATTGAAAACACGTCTTCTTTCGGCGCCCCTCTGTGGGGTTGGACACGCTTTCAACAGGAGAAGGGCCTGAGCCAGTTGGCGCCGGTGGATGGCAAGAAGGGCCAGCTGGAGGCGATCTTCTCAGGTTCGCCTGGCCCCCGCGCCACGGAGTGGGTCAAAACCCAAAATCCCGTAGCCCCAGCGAACATTCGATTCAATCCAACCACTAAAATAGGTACAATTAGGTACTAAAATGGGTGCCCCGAAAACCCCAAAATGGGATGCCATTGGTTTTGAACCATGGCCACATGGAGTCTGGTTCTGGGGAGGTAGCAGCCGGAGCCTTCCCGTTTGGAGTTTGTGTAGCTTTCCAAACACCACAAGGAGGCAGAGAAGTTATGAAGACTCTTCAAAGAAAAAATCAAACCCAGAGGAGCCCCTGTTCCTGTCCGGGAACGCGCTGCTGGACTTTCCCTACAAGTTGGTCACGGGGAAGCAGGCGCCAAAAACGCAGCGGAAACCTGTTGGACAAATGGGGGCCCTTTCGGTTGGTTGCAAAGGACCACCAAAAGGCAAACCAACCATTTTTAGTGGGTCCGATAAACAACACCAAATATCTGTAGAAGGCTCCGCCGAGAGAGACAGAGAGAGAGAGCGAGGGAGGTGTTTGTAACTTTCCTGGCGAAGAATCGGGAAGGATGACTCAAGGCCTCAGTTGTTGATTTGGGTATTCCGTACTGGGGGGTCTCTTCTCACCCCGTCGGGTGAGCCAGGTGTACATGGTGCACACCGGGCCCGTGTTCCCCAACTGCAGCACCATCTCCAGCGTCAAGGCCGGGAAGGGCCCGGACTTCATCGACTTTGCCGTCTTGGAGAAGAAGGTGGGCCAAAATCCCCAAGCAACGCGCACAAAACAGTGGTCTCTGCCCCTTTAAATTTGTCTGGACTCCTTAAAAACAACAAGGGCTGGCACGGAATGGGATTGTTTGCCTGACACTTTTTTTTGCCAAGCTTCAAGAGACCAGATCGACCTGGGTGACAGCCACTACTGGCGTGGAGATTGTGGTGAAGGGTGCCTGTTCAACGTGCAGGAGGACCATCCGGAAAAATGGAAGGAACAGACCAAGGATTCCCCTCGGATAGCAGAAGTCGGTCTAGTTTCTGCCAGAGGGAGGGGGTGTGGGATAGATTCTAGACTTTTCGTTTGGTAAACCGGAGAAGAACCGCCGCCAAAGATGACTAGGACCCATCTGAGAGCATCGACCTTTCCAAGAAGCCGGAGCACGCGGACCGGCTCCAGAAGATGATCGCCACCTTGGCAGAGTATAACAAGACCCTGTTCTTGCCCGAGCGCGGCGAGACCCACATCCAGGCTGGTGGCATGCTACGAAGAACTTCTTTGGGGGATTCGTGGCACATGGTTTAGGTCGGTGCCCTTCAAAGTGACAATCATGGTTGGATTGGAATCAGGAGTGCATCCATTTTCCGTAGCCATGATCCTACTTGGGCATCACCAACCATTTTTTGGAAGGTGTCCAACATGTCATTTCGGGTCAGGCGTGCTACTCCGCCATGTTGAACGGCCACGGGACCTTCGGGCCCTTCGTGTCCATCGAGGGCTACTACTCTGACCAGCCCCGCATGTTCGAGGATCTCAGCTCCCACGAGAAGCTGCAAATGGCCATCATGGGGGCCGTATCTCTGGGCCCAGTGAAGAAGGTCAGGCTTCCTTCACTTCCTTCAGTTCCCCGATATTTTTGTTCTGCGGTTTGAGAAAAGATCTCGCAGGAAGTCGTCTGAAATCGTTTCCTTGTAGGACGTGACGTGAATCTGACAGGTGATCCAGGAGGTGGCCCCGAAGATCATCTTGAAGCAGCTGGAGAAGAAGGGCGACGTGTGCTGCACAGAGGAGAGCTGCAAGATCGTCGAGGAGCGTTCGAAAACAAAACACAACCAGATCGTGGACACTCTTGAAAGCGGAGACCCAAATGGCTGTGGGAAAAAACAATGGGATCCCATTTTGGGGTAGGTGCACCAACCATTTTAGTACCTATTTTAGTGGGGAGTGGGATGTTCACCGGGGGTACGGGATTTGACCCATGGCCAAATGTTTCGCAACAGTTCAGAGCGGCTGGCCCAAACCCCCGAGGAGGTTTTGGGTGAGCTGGATGACCTCGAGCTGGTGCGGAATATCAGCCAGTTGGCCCGCCCACAGGCCTCTGTGTACGTGTGAGAGAGAACGTGTCACCTGATTTTTGGCCCGGTTTTCGAGCGTGCGCGCCTGGATTCTCGGATCCCTGTAAATGTTGCCCGCACAGAAGGGCTAGGCTCGCGCAGATGAACTCGGACTCAGTTGTACTGTAGATTCCAGGATTCAAGCTTGCGCCGCGTGTCATGCGAGCGTTGCTGGAAGCCTGAAAATGTCAAGAGCTGGAGAATGGGCCATGAGAGCGACACATGGTTGCAAACCACACTTGCTTCCTGCATAGACATTGCTTGCATTGCTCATTTTGCGAAGCTCAAGCATGGTCTCAACACTCCGAGCATGATTCATCCCAATCCATCACGCCCATTTGTTTTTTTTTGGAAAACTACTTGTAAACACACCACTGCCATCCAAAAGGTCATTCCATGGCATGTGCCACAAGCAGCGGCCAAGCAGTTCGCGCCTCAGCACTTGCTATACTTGTTGCCGGATTAATCGGTTTTGGCAACAGGTGACAGGAACATGCAACCCCAGCTTTTATGAGAGGGAACGAGCAATTCTGAATGGATGCATTTGCTTTCACGAGCAGTCACAACCACTTCACAACCCAAGGTGCCAGGGATCTGACTTGTTGTTTGTCATTCAATTAAAGTCATCAACTTGGGTGGGAATGGCTGTACGTGACGGGTTCGGTGTGCGACTGTGCACGTGTTCCGAGCCGTGAGGATCCAGCGAGACCTGGCACAGCACCTGCATTGGGCGCCTGGGCAGAGGCCGACAGCAAGCTGTCCGCCTGTCCGCCTGTCCGCCTGAGTGCTTGTGAGGTGAAGAGCTTGGTGAGGGAGGTGATTGGCGATGCTTGCGCCCAATCTTCTCCATCCCAAAGAGCCGGGAGAAACTCCACGCAGAAGGTACACTTGCTTGTGACAGCAGTGTCGCATGTCTTCCCAAGAACATTCATGGAAGAAGGGGGGTGCACTTCCAGTTGGGGCCTCCCTCTTTTTGTGGGTCGGAAAACACCAGCAATCCCATCCTTCGTGTCCAAGTACTTTGGGTTGCCGTCTGAGGTTGCCAGTCTGGTGGACCCCAGGCTTGCTCGGCCACACACAGCGTGCGCTGGAGTCAGAGTTGCAGCTTGGAGCTCAGATCTTGGCGTTTCCCTGTGCAAAAGGGGAGGGGGTGAGCGGGATCAGCGCCACCATCTGTGTTTTCTTTGCCGAAAAAGCTCGTTAGCTTCTTGGCCCAGGTGCTTCATGATTCGGACGAGGAGAGCGACGGCGGCTCGCTAGGCGGACCCAGCCGGAGTTGCCTGGGCGTGAGATTTCCGGCCGCAGATCCTGACGATGAGCATGTCTCGCTGGGCCTGGGCTGTGGCACAGCTCGAGCCTCGCTAATCGCTGGTGTTCAGCAGGTATGATGGGAATAAAGCCCATGGTGCTTGCCATCAGTGGACCGCAGGATGATGCCTGGGTTCATTCCCGGTTTCCCTATAAGAACAAGCAAGTCATGTGGCTTCTAATCATTTCGCCATCTCGCCGAGGTGAAGCTGGAAAGGCTTGCCGAAGGCAAGGAGCAGCATTTGCATGAATGGCACTGGGCGTTGAATTTTACGGAGCCCTCTTAAACATGTGGATGCTGATCCCCATAAGCGCATGGAGTGTCGACTCGTGGGTTGCCCTTCTCGCAGGCAAGCCCAGCACAGAGGCTGCGGGCGTTTTCGGGAGGTCGATGCTGTGGCCTGCCTTGGGGGAAAGGGGAGCCAAATGGAGCCAAAGTCATTTTGATCCCCACCCCCCGAGTATTTGGAGACCGACTCATGGGCGGTTTCCAAAACCGCGAGTCTTGGCATGTGTTTGCAGGTGGGGCTTCCTGGTTTGACTTGCGTGTCAAAAAGGGTTACCTGGGTTTGGGACCCGTGTATCTGAGCGCATGTCGCGGGCCTCAAAAAGGGCTGAAGTCTTTTCTTGGCAGACAGGTTCCGTCTTGTTCTCACAGGGTGTCGCCTCTACAGGCTGCATTGATCCTTGCATGGATTTGATAGATCGGACAGACTTGCGTGCTTGTCCTCACTCACTCCGAACTTGACAGTGGGAAAGGGAGAGTCGCTGAATCGCTGTCAGTCTGCCAGCGCAGCCAATTGCAGGCAGTTGCGTCAAAGGTAGCGCCGCCCATTGAGCGCAGTTGTCATGGCCATGAAGATGCTTCTCTTTTTGTCAGCCTGGAGGCTCGTCGTCTCGCTGGGAACTGACGATGCCCTTGCCATCTATGATAGAGTGAATAGCATGGCAGCAGACGTCCACTTCACGGACGAGTGTGGCTCATCAACAATATTTGAATGGACATGGCATGCTGATTATCCGCATCTTTGTATTGCCAGACCTTCTCATGAGCTCTTTGGAACCAGTGTGTTGGCTGGTGCCACTTTGGGAATCGTGCAACCTCCATTTCCAGATGTGTTGAAAGTCAACTGGTTGGACAAAAGCTTGTTCATGGCGTTGCAGGACGAATGCAAGATACAGGGCTACTTGACAGTGAAGTCAACGTTGAACACGATGAAAGCCCACGGCTATGGCATCAAACCAGGTTCTGTTGAGCGAAAAGGAGGAGGCATGGATATTGGAACTCTGACGTTTGAAGCGGAGAAGTTGGACCAACGCCTGTACGGCATAGTTCCTTCCATTTGGTCAGAACCCTCGACCGGCCTGGTGGTCGCCGCCGCTCTGAGTGCTTTGATGGTGCTAGGTGTGGCCACAGTGCTTGTGATTGCGCGGTGGCAAAGCCGCCAGCGTATCATTGCTTCAGTTGCAATCGAGCAAGGCGCTGAGCAGATGCTATCAGAAACCGATGAGGCCTAGGCAGTCACAGACAGGCCCATTCTGCGTGTTGCCCATTGCTTCGTGATATTTTCAGTTGTGTCGCTTTCAAAAGCGCACGCAGAGTGGCCGGATGACTTTTAGACTAACGACCCTCGAGATGTTTCCGAGCCTGTGCTTTGATTTTCGCAGCTTTACTTGCTGAGTCACCATGGCAGGTCCATGGTCGGCGCGCAAACTGCTAACGTGTCATGGTTTAGTCAAGCTGGCAGCTGTTCGAAGCAGTTTGTGTGAGACCAAACTGTGGTGGCGCGTGACGCCAACCTGCTTGTGGCTTGGGGCTTTGGAGGCGGCAGAATCGTGCCTTGATGTGAGAAAGCAGCTCCAGCTGAACCGAGCAAAGGATTGCACAAAGACGCCCTTGCCAAAAGGGCTGAGAGGTGTGTTGCCTTTGTCCTTGCGGTTTTCGCGGATGATGTTTGTCGTCTTGTCCGCCTTCTCTGTTTTTTCAATCAAGTGGATTCACCTTCTAAACGTTCGTTTCAATGGCTTTCTTTGTGCTTGTTTGCCCAGCTTCTGTTCAGCGACGGTGCCTTTTTTCCTTCACGCCTTCACGCCTCCGCCAGGCGGACCACCCACCATGCTCGCTCTCCAGAGGCCAGATGGGTGTGCCTTGTTTGAGTTCTGACAAGCCAACAGGAAGGTGTTTCCTGTGCTTTTGGAAGCAACCCACAAAGACGCCCAAAAGGAAACCGCCCAACAGAAGATCGCGGTGTTTGTCCAGTTTGGCACTGAGGCGAATGGCTGCTGCTCAGCGGCCTGGCCGGGAAGCCTCTCTTACAGGCCGAAGTTTGAAAAGCACCTTGACAGAAACGCATAGCCTAAGCGTGGTGAGATTTTCCAGCAGCCTGGGGTTGAATTCCAGATCCCTGCTGTGCCGGTGTAACGGTTTCGTTTCACGGGGCCAAGGGTTCCAACCCAACTTTGACGCCCCGGGCGGCAGGCATCGCCTCTGAGAACCAGCGGCTCTTGCCCAGAGCCGAGGCCGGCAAACAACGCGCCTCGCGTGTTTTGGCGAGGGATCGATGAAGTCGACAGGCCAAAGAAGACCTTGCCCGCATCGCTGGCTGAGAAGCTTCCTAGGACTGGGAGTTGGGATTAAATGCGACTGAAAGGCTCTCCGTTACTCATCTCGGTCCCCAAGAAATGTGGAAGAGGGTTGGGAATAAGGGACCACAGGGTATGAAGAAGGGGTATAAATATACCACCCTGGAGATTCTTCTCTATTTTGCAAACGTGTACCGGTCACAAGCAGAGCCAGTTGGCCAAAGCCAGTGATCCCAGCGGTAGCTATGTTCATGGCTTTTCCAACGGTCGGGGTCAACAGAGTTCTGGGGAAGAACAGGCGCGGGTCGCTTGCTGGTTTCTCCCAGGACCCAGGTCCTGGGAGCTCGAGGCAGGGTCCAGAAAGCATGGGAAAGCAGGGGCCCTTTCGCACGCACGGTGTCCGGTTTTGTTCGTGCCCTTTTTTTGTGGGGGGGGAGGGGGGGAGGGGGGCATTTTTGAATTTTTGGCTCTTGTTCTGGCTGGTGGGCACTTTTGGAACACCTCCAAGCTTGTTTCGCCGCGAAGCCTCATTTCCTGTAGGCGGTGCAGGCCTGGCGCCTCAAGCTTCCAGGCTGGGCCGAGGGTATGAGTTTGCTTGCCCCTGGTGAGGGTTGGAGGGTTGGAGGCTGCGCCACGTGTGGTTTCAAGAGGAAGCGGGTAGGAGGGTGTCGAACAAAACGGAGTCCGCCGTTCGTGACGTGGCGTTCCGGGCGAGGCTGAAGTCCCACGCTTCCTGGGCGAGCTACTTGCCCATGCGAGCTCCAGGTGTTCCAGGCTCCTCCTGTGTCAATGTGCGTGTGTTTTTTCAGAGTACCCCCCGTGCTGTAGTTCGAAAGAGAACCCGGAAGAAAGCCGAAATCCATTTTGGGGATCGAACAAAAGACCTGCGGTGTCCGTTGTGAACTAGGCAATCAGCCCAGAAGAGCGCATCCGCCATCCGCTGCAAAAGCAAGTCAGCGCGGATCTGAGTTGCCCTTAGCGAGATCTGTCTTCTGTGGAGAACTCTTCGACTGCGACACCAGGCCTTCAGGTGCCGGTTATCCAAGCGCTCCCGTGGCTCCAAAGGTGTGCGAGGTGCGATTTTGTCAATTCAAAACGACGCATCGCGCGGGGCTTGTTTTGGATTGCAGGCAGAGCTTGCGGATAAGGCAGTGAAGAAGACAGGCACGAGGGGAAGTCAAAGACCCATCACTTGCTTTGGCAGCTGGGATGGTCATGGATCCTTTGATTGGGGGTTCAACAGCCGCCAAAAGGATTTGAAGGGATTGAAGGGAATTATGACCATGGCCTGCAGAGATGATTCCCAGCTCATGCGGAGGTCCGAAGTATCGTGTGCTGCCGGGTGGCAGTCGGCCGGGTGTCAGTCGGCCGGGTGTCGGCCGACCGCCCGAGGCGGGGCACAGAGCCGGCAAGTTCCGTTTCGCAGTCTGGAAGCTCCCCCGAAGGTCAAGGAGATCCTGGTCCTGGAGTTTCGATCGGAGCCGCACGCGGCTCAGCAAGCCCTTCCCAACGTGAGGTGCATTTATTTGGGCTCGGGGTCAATAGGCATCCGTATGAAAAACAAAACCGCCGGTTTGGAGAGGCCTCCAGTTTTGACACATTTCCAAAACGTGAGGGCCACAGGACTGTGAGAGAGGCAGAGCACAGCGGATGCGTTGCTTTCCGCATTTCTGGAGTACATTTTGTAGAGTCACAGCCATGTGCAAGACAGCCACATGTAGCACGGGTTCAGGCGCGTTGTGCCGGCACGGCGATCCCAGGCGCTGGTTTGCGCCGCGATTTGTGAGAGACATCACCAGCAATTTGAAATCTCGTTTGGAAAGGAGTCCTTGGATGACTTTTTTGAATCTCGGTGCCCTTTCCAAACCGAAAGCTCCCCCCAAAATGTTGCTCCCTTTCAACTCGGATTAATCCGGAGGACCCTGCTAATCAGAGGAACCCCACAACAAGGATCCTGTTGCTGGAAAAAGGAAACCAGCCCTTAGTACGGTCCTTGGGATCAGTCCGAGAGCATTCGTTTGCCCTTAGAACTAGAAGTGGGTTCCCCAAAACAAGACCCAAAACTCTGTGTGTGTGTGTGTGTGTGTGGGTGTGTGTGTGTGTGGGTGCTTGCCACGGCCCTTGTTTGGGTGGTTTGAAACATTTAATTTGGGGGGTTCCCTCATTTAGTTTAGAGCCATACCCAAATGCAGCCCAGAAAGCACTGCAGGAGCTTCGACTTCACTGTCCAAAGGGCCTGCGCCCTAGTTCAGCGCGGCTGACCAATCGGTACAAGTGATTTTCCACGATCAGATGGTTGGATGCTCGCACACTCCAAACGATGAAACCCCAAGCATTGTGGTTTCCCTTCAGCTTCCTTTTGGGGATCCTCAAACATGGACACCCGCATGGCAACGACATTTGAGCAGCATTTTGGAGAGTGGAGCAAAACCCGCCATGTTTGAACCCCAAAAGTTCTGGCACTATGTTCCCATATTTTTTGGGGTCGTAAGGAAACAGACTCGGCTCCGTGTGTAACCTGGCCGGTTGGCGCTGGCCTACAGAGGCCAGAAGAAGGCGGAATTTGCTCCGGCGAAGAGGCTGGCCACAGGTTTCCGCCGTCAAAGCATTGAAACCACCAGGGGACCGCAGGTTCTCAGTCCTTGTTTTCATTTGCCAGGGTTCCACTTTCGGTGCCTATTTTTGACTCACACCAAGTTTCCGGCTTGGTCCTGCGCTGGTTTTGACCCGTAGATCGACTGTGAATCCGCGCGGCCAAGCTGAGAGGTTCCGTCAAGAAGACGGCGCGTGGGCTCTCGAACGGGAGGCCAGCGGAGAACAACTCGCGGTGCGTCGGTGTATCCCTCGCGATCGCGGGGTCGTAAGAGCTTGGTGCCCACAGGTCCGCCGGTCGCTTGCTTTGGCCGATACCCCCAAGAACGAAAAGGGGTAAAGGCCACCCCATGAGGGTTGGGCTTGGACCAGTCCCCAATGCCTTGGGTCACTTGCGGCGTGAGACCCAATCTCGTTCTTGGTCTCGTTCTTGGCAAGTTTTGTCCAGGCTCTCGCGAAGTCATGAGGGCCTAAGCGCCTGGAGCGTTGCACGACCTGTCTCACCGCAACGCGAAAAGCTTCTTGCTTTAGCTTCGTGCTGCATGCTGAGCCATGGTCAATACGTTCGCACCCCTTGCAAAGCTTCTTTCGTTTAGGGGGTTAACTTTCCCGCTTGGGGATATATAAAGCTAAACTGCGTTAGGGATCTGTTTATCGAATCCTTGCTACTGGGGATTTGATATTTGTCCAAGCCTCGTTCACGTGTATCTTGCAGGAGCAAGAGTCCCATGGCTTTTGGCACCCCGCCAGTGCGTGACGTCTGAAGCTGTATGTGGCTCTTAAAGAGCCTCACAGGGGCAGGTCCCACTTAGCAGGCTGGGCAGACTTCCAAACCCCATGGCTTTTTGGGCGGCTGATGCATCCTAGATCCTTGAGTAACCAATGCGAAGCGGGTTGCTCATTTGAGAAGATCCAGATCACGTTTCGGCGGAGCACCCTAATGAAACTGCAAGGTTGAGTACTCCGGCGATCCCTGGGAAAAACAGACCGAGGCGGACCTGTGAGGCTCCGGCGAAGGTGTGCAAGCACCAGTCCTCAGGAGTGGCGCTTGTTTGACGCTATGGAGCCCAAACATGTCCCCCGAAAAAAGGCGGCTTTTGGTGTCTAGGGAACATCGATTGGGGAACTGCAAGTGAATCATTTCGGACTTTCTGTGCAAGATTTCGGCATAAGTGAGGCAAGTGACTCTGAGCGGGGGCTATAGCGGCTATAGCCCAGTCCCCCTATTTTGACACGCCCGTTTGCATCAGGACTGGCGCCATGAACGGCCAGCCAGGGCCCTATGGGCAGCCCTATGGGCAGGCACCGTACGGGCAGTCACCGTACGGGCAGTCGCCGTACGTACAGGCGCCGTGCTCGCTCGGCGAAACAGGTCGGTCGCAGGTGTCGTTTCCGCATGCCACATGATGATGTCCTGAATGTCACCTCGAGGAAAACCAACCGCAGCATGGACCACCACAGAGTTTGAAATGCTTGTCTGCCGGCAATATTTAGGGTGTTCCGTAAAGTTTTTCTTCTCCTTCGGGGGGTCACGAGTTTGACCAGCAAAGAGTTGCCGATGTTTGGCCGGGGGTCTGAACTGGCTGGGGTGACAGATCTCTTCTGGTTGTGAAGACTCAGGGGTGATCGACGAGCAAACCCCGAGTTGATGAAGGTTAGCGAGGGAGGGTCCCAAGTCCCAACTGGTCAAAATGCTCGCGGCCGCATTTCTATTTCCTTGCATGGTTTGAGTAGACTCCTTTGGTGCCAGGTTTTGATTCTGACTACCTTGGGCTGTCACGGCTGGCAGGTTCCGCCGCAGATGCCGCAGCAGCATCAACCGCAGCAGTACCAGGGCGGAGCTGCCTCGTTTGCGTGAGACGAGCTGAGAGAGGCGTAGAGACATCTCAGGAGCTTTTTCTTTGATTAAACAAGCCCCCCGTTTCGGGGGCTCGATTAAATTCCAGCAACGGGACCTTTTTGAAGGATGGCCGATGGCACATCCGTAGCACTTCTGAATCTAAGGTTCAGGGCCCTCGGATCAGGGGCTGCAAATCCTTTTGGAATATGTCCAAAGGAGACCTCGCCCCAACAGTTTGCGCATGGCGCGCATCGAGTGCACGCGCCGTGCAGGGTCAAGAATCCTTGCGCCAGTTGAACGAGCGCATTTTGTTTTGTTTGTGTGTGGCTGGATTTTGGGAGTTGTATTAACAGGGAAACAAAAGGAAACCTACCAATTGTGTGATTTCCGATCTTTAGACAACCCCAAGATCACTTGCCAAAGGCGCCGACGCGCCGAGTCTTCGCTGCAGGTTACCGACCCGTGGCGGACGACACCTACGGGCCGCCGCCGCGCGCGTCTGAAGGGCTGAAGCGCTGGGAGTTGGCTGAGACAGGGGTCCATGTAGCTTTCTACCTCTTAAATTGGACTGCAGACAGTCATTTTTTCTGGCTTGCTGTTGTCAAAACCATCCATGATGACATGGTCCACTTGAAGATGTCCTTGCAGCGTTGTGGTACTCAGCACAAACAAAAGCACTTGCGATTGCGTGCGCGTGCGTGTGAAGCATTCAGCCTTCTGGTCAATTCTCAACTTGAGGGGAACCCAAAGGAGAACCACCCAAGTTGGTTCGGAAGCATGTGAGGTTTTTATGCAAACATCCGTGTGCCATTCACCTCCGCCCGTGCGCTGGACCCCCAGGTTTCAGGATGCCTCCAGCCCTGGCACGGGAGGCGACTGATTTGGTGAGACTGGAGCTCGTCCAAGATGGGCCCGCGGATGTTCGGCTTGTTGCGCGTTGCCTGCATTGGGACACCCTGACATCAGGAAACATCCAACCAGAAGGGGGACGTCTTGCCTTATTAGTCTTTTTTTGCAGGGAACCAGAACCAGGCAGTTGCGGCGGTCGATTCCCCGTTTTAAGGAACCCAAACCAGGAGGACACCAATAGGAAATCAACAGGAAGCTAACAGGAAACGGAAGCAAACCCTTCTCAAACAAGACAGGTCATCAAGGTCAGCCCTGATATCAAAGAGGGAGAGGGTCTATCCAATTTGGGTGTGTCTTTCGTTGAAGGTTCCCTTTTCTGGTTGCTTTGAAAAGGAAAGCAAAGGGAAAGCCGAAATCCATGGGGAGGTCTCCCCGATTCGGTCGCCAGGCAGCCCGGTGAGCCCCGACAGCGGGGGGTACAGCCCAGACAGCCCCGGCGGCTCGCCGCCCGGACCTTGATTTCGAAGCGAAAGGGGACACCCATCCCCTTTGGACCGAAGCCAGAAGAACCCTTGAGTGAATACACATCGTTCTTGGTGCCTGGTGCTTTCCTTCTGGTTTTCTTTTTCCACCCAAACAGGGGTACGTACACAAGCTGATGAGCACCCATACTGATGTCCAGAAGGGTCCAAATCAGCCGGCTTGAATGACATCACCTTTCGGGAAGGCCAATTCGAGCGAATCACCGGGGGGTGATGTTCGGAGGTTGAAACTAAGGTTTCACCAGCTCCAGAAAGAACCGCATGAGCTCAACAGACAAAGCCTTCATAAGGTCCGACTTCTATATTCCTGCCCCAGTTGGCCCAACCATGGGCCGAGAAATGATCGATATCCTGTTGATTTGCTTGAAAGAGGGCGAAAGCTATGCATTGAGGCTGAGGGCCTTTTGGCTTATCTTTGATAAAAAGAGGATCGAAAGTGAAACTGCAGACTCACGGAGTCCAACTTTCGGTGTGATGTTTGTTCCTTGTGTGCAGCTAGCACAGAGTGCTCGTTGCGATGTTCCCATGTGTTTTCCACTGAGGTATGGAGATGGTTCAGGCAGCCGAAGTGCGAGAGGGATGGTTGTGCACTTGCAAGGGATGCACGAAGCTGCCCAAGTACTTGGCAGTCCATTGTTAGTGAGGCCACGAAAGGAGGGGGCCACCTGTCTTTGTGACCCACAACACGTGTGTGTGTGTGTTTTTTCTGGAATCAGAAGCAGTGCTTGAGGTCCTGAAGACCAGTTCATGGGCAAGGACTACCGGGATTTCACGGAAGGTGCAGGAAGGACGGGAGGCTCTGCCAGCTGAGACCTCACCGACCTGCAAACCTGGAGAGGCGCTTGGAGCTGAGGTCCCACGCAGAAGAACGACCCGCACTCGGGGGTATCTCCTAGAAGATGCACGGATTTGGTTTGTGGCATGCTTAGTCAGGCACAGCGTGACTAGGACTTTGCATCGATCATGTTTCGCGCTCCGAGGCGTATTCGCGTTTCTGGTGTACATTCTTGGCATGCTGATCTTCCTGGCAGTCGTCAAGAACACCTCGATTGTCACGGACTTAGATGTTTGGATCAGGCATCGATCCACATGCAGCACTGAGGACGGACGATCCTACTCCGATACGAGACGCCTGACCCATGGAATGGACTATGAGGCATGCGTGGCTGAAGCGGCTGGCTTGTGCATCTCTTGTTCTGCAGGCTCGATTGTGTGGTGTAGATCCTGGAGTGGAGGCGGGGACTACTCCAAATCCAACACAATCTTTTTGGAGAACCCCAAACTACGGACCCTTGATGGGGGTCCAAGAAGATTAGACGTTTGAGACAGCTAGGTGAGGTGTCTTTCAAGTCGAGCCTTCGTTCAGGAGAAGAAGTATGTCTTCTGGTGTCGGGACGATCCATCTCAGAACAACTTTGAGGTTGGCTCACCGTGCGGCGCTTGGCTTTTGCCCGTGCTGTGGCCCGCGTTTGGCTCATGAATTTCCGGTGAGGCTCAATCTCAAACATCCCGTCTGCGTGGAAGAATGCCCTCGCCTATTCAATGGATCGCGGCCGGCGTCCTAGTATACACCATGTTCGCTGTACGGCTCGGCGCAGCTTGTGCTCAGGCTAGGCCCAGAACAAGTCGAGCGCGGCTGGCTTGTTGCGTTTTCCTTCCGCGGTCGCGCGTCTTTTTGTGGCCAGGTGCTTGATGCGGGCCCAAGGAAATGGGCCTCCTCCGAATTACCTCATTGAGCCCGTGCCAAACATCCCAGGACGGTTGCGAGTGAGTGAGAAAGACGGCTTTGCGTGAGAGTGTTGGCGTTTTATTTGCAAGATTTGGGTTGTCTCAAGATGTGTGACCCAACAAATGGGCATAGATTTTAGCTTGGCCATTTTCACACGGTGTTGGATGGCTGTCTCATTTGGCGACCTGAAGTGGTTGGTTTCCTTTTGGCAAACAACAGACACATCTCTGGCAGGTGGACAGTTCGGCACGATCGACAATTTCTTCATGATGTTCCGAGAGGAGACCGCGTGCGCCTGTGAGCACAATGGTGCCCAGCATCGAAGGGATCGAAGGGGAGTGAAGCGTTCAGGTACGCAACCACCTACGACTCCATGCCGCTGGCTGGCCGCTACTGTGTCCCCACGAACGAGACCAATAAGGCATTTGCGTTGGGGGTTGCATCCAGGTCAAGAACGAGACTCCAAGCCTTTTTTAGGCGCAAGCAAGTTGCTCACCTTCCCTTGAACATCTAGGTGGCCATGGTCAAAATATTACCACCCCGCAGGTTTGAGTCCATGTGCCCAATGACCAGTGTGCGATGTTCGGGTTACCCGATCTTTGAGCCACTCGGTGTGTTCTCGAGCCCCGCGCCAGGCGAGCCTGGTGGCTCCCCTCTCCGGGCCTTTGGGCTTGGCGGAGCGCGTGCCCACGCCTCAGGTGTGGAGGCCCCAAGAGGTACATGAGTGGAGGTAGTTTTGGCTTTTTGGCCTAGGTGGTTTGCCATCGGGTATTTTTTACTTTAAAGCAAGAAGCATTATGCTTGTGGCTCTAGATGTTGGCCTTAGTCTTAAGCTTCAGCCCTTGAAATGGATTTCTTCCCACAGCTCGTTTCAGTTGTTGACTGGCAACCATGTCTTGTCTGGGATTTCTGCAGACGAGCTAGGTTGCCTTTTTCGTTTTTCCCGAAAGCGTCGCGAAGGTTCTTCCGTGCAAAGCCCTTGGACTAGCTTGCACAGAGCTGCTTGCACAGAGAAACTTGCGCAGAGCGCGACTTGCGCAGAGCGCGACTTGCGCAGAGCGCGACTTGCGCTGAGCAACTTGTGCAGAGCAACTTGCGCAGAGCAGCTTGGGGCGTTTTTTTTCTTCTTCTTTTTAAATATACACGCGTTTCGGGGTCCAACGTGTCAAACAGTGAGACGCCCCAAGCAAAACGCCATCTCCAGGCAACTTATGGCATTTGCGCACTTCTGGTGGGGCCCACGTCACAAAAGCTGGAGAGGCGGGCAAATCCGTTGGGATTATGAACATTTGGGTGAGAATGCTCTTAGGTCTTCTCTATTTGCTATTCGTTTAGTATTGGTGTAGTGGTGGATAGCGTTGCTGGTTAAACAACGGTTGTTCGGGTACTGGTTAGTCCTGAACGTTACTGCTTTATTTAGTATTGCCGAGTACTGCTCTGTGCGGTTAAGTATTGGTTTAGTCCTGTTTGCTTTTGCTGCATGCTCTTTATTTCCCACATTTTTGTTCATCCTGTCCTATTAATTAGGAGCTTCCCTGTACCACTTTTGAACATTTGTTTGGGTGGCTGTTTTAGTGAAGGATGTCGTTTTGGCTGTTTGGGGGTTGTCAGTCAGTTTTGCAGGCTTAGAATTGGTTTTGTTTTGGTTTAGTATTGGTTACTGTTGGTGTAGAATTTCTGAGACATTGGTGACTGGAGGCAATGTGTTTGTGTACTGCCTCGTCTTAAGCATGGTTTCTTATTCTCTGTGCCACTAGTTTTGTTTTAGGTTGGGTTTGCAGTGCTTGCGAGTCGCCTTTGACGCCATGCTTATTTTTTTGGATACACAGCTTCCGAGACATGGCAACTTCTTAAAACCAATCGGCTTGTCATGGGAGATTGGACTCAGAGCCTTACAAACACTGCAAACAACACTTGCATGGAGAAAGCCAACCCTGCAGGCACCACTCGGCCCAAAAATGGCTCATTTCTTTTTGCTCAAGCCAGGCAGAAGGAGGTTTTTCCTCAAACAAGTTACAACGATCCATTTTTCTGCGCAGAACGCCTCCAGTTGATCGACCGATGTATGATACCCTGGTGTACACAAATGGCCGAGGCACAAGGGCGTCGGCAGCTTCGAGGTGTGGTCTGTATTGAAGTCGTGGACCCCCCAATGGAGCCCGCAGATCGATGGTTTGTGTCGTCTGGGGGGTTTTGTTGGTTTGAGCGTGTTGGTGTATTTCCATGTTTCGGCAGCCGTGCGCTCGGATCATTTCAACAACTGACAATTGGCGATTGGGAGTTTGGGGATGACATCGGGGCCCAAGAATTCTCTTCAAGAACATGGAGACCGCCCAATTTTTCCCATGACCCTTTGAAACGAGTTGAATACCACGATTTGACATTGGCCTGGTGTCGTGACTCTCCCTACTTGTTCTTTTCAGGGAGGTGCCCCTGAAAGAAAGCAGTTGCCACCAAAAGGGCCCACTAGCGGAGTATGTTCGGGGGTCCACATTTGTGAGTCCGTGTGCGAGGACTGCTGGCTGGTGGTGTTCCTGGCCGTCCTCGCCACTATCCTCCTCAGCGTTGGCTACGTCTTTCTCCTTGGCTCCTTGAAGGTCGGAACTTGGATTTGCTGCCGAAGTGTCCACAGTTCCCCCCAGGTCGCCATTCGCTTTGCCTAAGAACTCAACTTGACATCTCGTGTTGAGCCATGTGTTCAGCCGAGTTTGCTTGTCATAACTCGTGACAGCACTTGGGTATGATTGTTTGTTCAGATTGATCTGAATCTTTTTGGTGTTGCTTCCGCAACGACGTGCCCGAGCGACAGCCGGTTGGTCAGTTGCAACATGGAGAGCTGAAGATAGACTGGCCGCTGCAGGACGCAGGGATGGTTATTGTCAGCAGCTGTTTGATTGTGTTGTCCGTTTTCCTGCTGCTCATCAGCATCTTCTGCTTTTTGTCAGCGGGCGCCTCAGATCATGGGATCGAACCCGGCTTTGCGGTCGAAGCAATCGACAGCGTGCATCCGTGGCAGTCTCAAGGCATCTCATGGCAGTCCGATCTTCTCCCAGCAGCGTTACGATGAGCTGCCCTCGGTGGCATGCGCGCGGAGAATGCACGCGATGCGCTCTCCGTTCTGCCTGCGGCACTTAGACTTGGAACGTGTTCTACAAGCGAGCCAGCGAAGCTGAGGTTCGTGGATGGAGTGAATGGAGTGAATGGGGGAAAAGCTGGTCCGCCCAGCGCAAAACGTGCCACTTTTCGTCCATCCTTCTTGGAGTTGGATTTCTCCCCATCGAATGCGGCGCCATCAAAGTAATTATCAACAGGTTAACCCGGGAACTGGTGGTGCTGCAGGCCTTGACGGCTTCTATGGTCTGCGGTGGTATCTTTCTGATCTTGTCGCTCGCGCCCCAGCAAATGAGCGGCCAAGCAGCCTGGTGTTAGCCATGTTGGTAAGAGGTTCTACGCCTGGGCATGTGCCTTTGTACGCAGCTGGGGGTCTCCAACAGTCAATGGGCTTCGTGGGCTGCTCAAGTGAGCAACTGGCAATGTCACCATCAGTCTACCATAGATTTTGGGAGGCCGCAGGCTGAAATCCGAATCCCGCAACAAAAGCGACACAAAGCAGAGGTTTGAACTCCAAACTCCAAAGCCTTCTGTTTTTTTTGGTTTGGGCCGGCTTTACTCCCCAGGGCGTTTCACACCTTCATAAGCTCGGAAGAATCGAAGGCTGCCCGCTTCAATCTTCCGCAGCGCACGGGCGCTGCAGGTTCGGTGCTCTGAGCTTCTTCACCAACGTCCATTCCGAGACGAAGATGGAGATCCTGCTGGAGGAGAGCGCGCTCGCAGTGTCCCCTGCAGCCTTGTGAACACCTACCCACTTTGGAGGCAAACCCGAACAGGCTTCCAGCCCATTCTGGTACTTACCTGAAGAAAATCAAAGGTTCGTTCAAAGACCCCACCGAGAGAAATCGCTTCGAGGCCATGTGCTCCGAGTTTTCCCTGGCTGCACAGGCCTCGTGGTCTGCTCTGATGCACATGAAGTCTCTATTCTTCCTGCCCCCCATCCTTGCCTGAAGCTCAGCCTGCAAGCAAGAGCGTGCTGGAAATCGACATGGCTCGGCGAGGCTGTTTGCAAGTTCTTTGTGATGTGGCAGCCTCAACATGCAAGGAGCTGTCAGTATTTTATGGTCATTGCTTTGCCGGCAATGCGTGCACGTCGCACGAGGTGGCTTGTTTGCTACAACTTCCAGAATCTTTGCGCTGTCGGAATGTACGTGGGCAGCTCAGTAATGAAGCTCTTGTTCAAGCTTCCGGACGATAACTGTTTCCACATGCAAATACCTGATTTTGCTTGGGTAGTTTATTAATTCCTTACTTAACAAGTAGTCATTTTGCCTTGGAACGACATGGGCTTTCGGAGTAAGAAAGGCAGACGGAATATGCTTGATCGAGCTGACATTTTGTTTGCCGGCAAGGATGACTATCGAATCATCGTGGAGGGGATGCCTTATGCAGGCTTTGAATGCCTGCATGACTCCATGACCGTGCGTGTCACTTGAGCCACAAGCAGAACCTGAGTACTGCATGCTTTTCCTTTACATGGTTTCAGGTAGGCCCTTCCATACCAGGTGTGATTTTGACTCTGATAATTTTGTTTTGCACACCACCCAGTGGCTGACGAATGACAGGAATGAGCAAGCGCTTCTTCTTCGACCCCTGGATGTGGTGGGGAATTGCGTGCGCCACTGGGTCCACGGAGAGAGAGGAGTCGAGAAGTGGAGAGGTGGAGAGGTGGAGAGGAAGTGCCATGTGGCCCGCGCGCCAGGGTCTACGTGATCGGTGGTCTGTGGCTTTTGGAAATTTTTACGTCGCTGGGGCAGTTTGTGATCTCGTGCCTGGGTGGCACTGGATGCAAATGCTTGGGCTTCCCTTTGTATCACCTGCCCAGACAGGGCATCATCCAAAGCGATAAAGCGATGCATCCAACGCTCAGATGATTTCTTTCACCCCGCCAAGCAGGTGGTGTGCGGTCATCTACTACTTCACCTCCAAAGATGAGGATGGCGACAAGGCGGGTCCAAGACGTGGCACGCAGTCGCCATGATATAGCATATATATATATATAGCTGTGAAGTGTACTTGGAACACCTCCAAAATGGTTCGTGGAGAGAAATACCCTGTAAATGATGTCCACCAAAGGGCCCCAAAGTGAAAGCCACACCCACGTGGGAGCATGTGACTTGGTCGAGACACTCTTTCGCTTGGCATTGTAAGGGATGGTCATTCAGGGTTTCTATTAAGTACATGGATGGTTGTCAAAATACTTGACCTGCTTTTGACATAATCGACCTGCGCAAATGGGACTTGATCGAAACGCCTCCTGTATGGAAACTCAACATTGACTCCCAAGGTGGACATTCCAGTTGCAGCTTGGAAAGGGTGTTGGATTGCACTTCGATACCATGCAGGCTGGGAAATTCATTTGCTCTGTAGCTGGGTGTCTTGTTTGCGCATGCTGCACGGGCAAGGTAGCATTCTCCTGGGAGCCTTTGGCATTTGGCACTCAGCTCATATGGCCGGCGCGAAGCAGACGGTGGTTGGCCCTTTCCTGGCTCAGGTTCTTTAGGATTTTCCGGATGGGTGCGTGGATCTGGGCCCGGACCTTAGCCCTGAACACGGGCCAACGAATCTGTTCCCGCCCAACCCATCAAATAGCATTGGTTTTTCGGGCCACAGGAGATTTCCCGCGGGTGTGGATGGATGCATGCATGGATGGATGGATGGATGCATGCATGGATGGATGGATGAATGGATGGATGCATGCATGCATGCATGCATGCATGAATGGATGGATGGATGGATGCATGCATGCGTGCATGCATGGATGGATGGATGCATGCATGGATGGATGGATGAATGGATGGATGGATGGATGCATGCATGGATGGATGGATGAATGGATGGATGGATGGATGCATGCATGGATGGATGGATGATTGGATGGATGCACGCATGCATGCATGGATGGATGGATGGATGGATGCATGCATGCGTGCATGCATGGATGGATGGATGCATGGATGGATGGATGAATAGATGGATGGATGCATGCATGGATGGATGGATGAATGGATGGATGCATGCATGCATGCATGCATGGATGGATGGATGGATGCATGCGTGCATGCATGGATGGATGGATGTATGCATGCATGGATGGATGGATGGATGGATGCATGCACGCACGCATGTGTGCATGGATGGATGCATGCATGCATGCATGGATGGATGGATGCATGCATGCATGGATGGATGGATGGCTGCATGCATGCCTGCATGGATGCGTGCATGCATGGATGGATGGATGGCTGCATGCATGCATGCATGGATGGATGGATGGATGCATGCATGCATGCATGCATGCATGCATGCATGCATGCATGCATGCGTGTATGCATGCATGCATGCATGCATGCACGGATGCATGCATGGATGCATGCATGCACGCAGCCATGCATGGATGGATGGATGGATGGATGGATGCATGCATGCATGCATGCATGCATGGACGGATGGATGGATGGATGCATGCATGCATGCATGCATGCATGCACGGATGGGTGGATGGATTGATGGATGGATGGATAGATGGATGAGTGGAAGCAGGATCAAAGCTCTCGATTCACCATTGTGACAGGTAATCCCAGGGTGTACCCTCCCAACATGGAAGTGGGCAGACCCTGACGAATTTCTTCTTGGAAACCGGTGTTTCGTAGACCAAGTTATGGGCAGCACAAGTCTCGCAACTTGGGACCAGCGAGCGAGCAGCGAGCCGACTCGGGCGCTCGCCTCACCGAGTCTGAGAGCCTGCCGCACGAGGGCTCCACGTGCTGCTTCAAGCCGCTGACCGCCTGCTGGAGGCCGCAAAAATGTTCTGCGAAAGTTACCCTCCCACCAATCTATCTACATGGAACCTGACAGGAGGTCCCTTTAAAAGGAAGAAATGTTCCAGGACCCCCCCCCCCAGGCTCCATGTTAATTGTTGGGCGTGTATCTTCCTCCTCTCAGGTTCCATAGGAAGCTGAATGGTTAGAACATACTCAAACAAGATTGGACACAAATCTCAGGTCCCGAACAAATACTCTTGTGGCGAGACTTTGGATCTAGCTTGAAAGGCGGCACTAAGGTCACCTCCCATCGAAGGAGATGGGGAGTCCCCCATAGCCTTTGGTCTCGGAGAAGCCCACCCCCAAAGCAAAACCACCCAACAAGGACCAGGACCCCTCCAGTTTGGTGCGACTGACGGACGGACCGACTGAGGGTCATCGGAAAATGCTTCGACGCCTGCGCGGGCAAGAAGGCAGACAGGCAGAAGAAGAAGGACGCCTGGCGCGCCTGGCACGCTTTGCGGCTTGGTACTTGGTACCCTTTGAAATTCGATGCTTTTGGTTGGTTACTTCAAAGCGAACTTCAATGGCAAACGCCTCCTTGGGATTCTCCGATTTGGAGCAGACGTAAGGTGTGTTTGGTGGGGCAAAACAGCCCATGTTGCAAGAAGACGCAAGGCGCTTCGCCAAACTTGCTGACAGGTCAGCGGGCGACTCGATCTTTCAGCAGCACCGCTGGCTTATTGCAGTTTGCCCCAGGTTCTGTTTCTGCAACGCTGCGCCAGGTATTCCAAAGACGCGTACCAGGATGTCACCATCAGAACCACGCATTTTTGGCAAGTGCAAACCCTGGAAACCGCTTGCGAGGCGTGTAGCGCTGAGTGAACCTTTGAGGCTAAAGAGAAGGCTCAGAAGTACATCGCCAGCCAGGGTCAAGTCAAGAGGCCGGACTGTGAGTTCATGTGAAGATCCAGGCGACTTGCCAGCCAGGTATACAGGTGATTGCCGTCCTTGCACCTTCATTGGTGTGCTGGGTGGAGGTATTGTGCGAAGCTTGGGTGTGATTTGAGATTTGAGGGAGCTTGGTAGGGTGTCATTTTTTGGATCCATTCCTGTCAAATCTCCCATGCTATCGGGGTCTATCTTGATCTCATCTTTCGAGGGACTTAGACGTCTTGCTTTTGATGGGTGCGAGCTCTTGAAAACTCCCAGACCGGCTTCATCGTTTGCTACTGCACCATCTCATTCGCAAGTCAGCACCCTAGGTTCATAGCTACCTGTGAATGCTCGCACAAATGTTTGGCTTCTGCACTGGCCAATCAGGTAGCTTTAACGATCCCAACAAGTCCAGCTTCATCGAAGATCCATTTGCCGCCAGCTTAGTTCTCCTTCACTCAGCGATGTGTAAAAACTAGGGATTTGTTGGGACCCTTTGAAGGGGAAATCAGCCATTTGCAGGTCTGGCCATACCTGATGCTCTCCATGAGCCAGCTCTGTTCAACTAAGATGGTCTCGTCTGTGGCTTTCGTGCTGTGTGGGATGATCGCGTGCCCAGCGGATTCACTTTTGTGCGGCGTCACCTTTTCTCATGTTTCATGTTGGCATTCTTCCAAGCGCACCCCAATTTGGGCTCGACACGAACGTTGGCATTCTTCCCAGCGCGCCCCAATTTGGGCTCGACACGAACGTTGGCAGTCTTCCCAGCGCACCCCAATTTGGGCTCGACACGAACGTTGGCAGTCTTCCCAGCGCACCCCAATTCGGGCTCGACACGAACCCGATCGGCCTTTCCTCCGGTTTTTTGATGATCCCACTAAGACCCATGTTTCCTCCGTGCCTCGCGAAGGTACGACTTCTGCGCGCTGTTGGATCACATGGCCCGTCAAGTAATCAATCAAAACCTGGGTAGGGGAGTCCCAACCAGGAATGGGTGCGGATGCCAATATTTGCTTTGATTGTTTGCCATAGGTTTTGGGCAGGACTCCTTTTTAAATTACCAGGTTTTGATTGTGACTCCAGTGTTTCATATTTCACCTGCCCTTGCGAGTGCTGACATGCAGGCAGACAGTTTGTTGTACTGCTTTGCCTACAACAAGAAGTTCAACAAGAAGACCATCGATAGGCCGCCTTTGAAAGTGGAGCCCAAACGACAGGGTCCCTCCCGGGTCCCTCCCATTTCTCATTGGACGTGGGCGGTTGGGTTCCTCTGGGTTTCTCTCTGACTCCAGGGATCTAACGGCAGGTTCGTGCCG